AGGAACTGACTCATCGGCACTTAATATAACAATAACAACAATAGCTGTTTCACTTCTTTTTAGTTTTGCCCCATCAGCAAGTGAAGGTCCCATGGGCTTTACTCTATTTGCATCATCACAGTGAACTCTATTTTGAGGAGGCAGCTCTTCCCTAGTCGGATTTTGATTGCCTTCCAACCTGAGGGGCTCATCTTTTGTCATTATATCTGACAATGTTCTGGTGCTCTTCATCATGTTTCAATATTCAGTAATCTGGGACTGACATTGTTCCACTGCTATATTCTAAGGTTTTCAGTGACTAAATATTCAGAAGTAGCCCATCTCTCCTTTTTCCTAGTCTATCTTTGTCTGGAAGCTCATCGAAACCTGTCCACCATGGGTGATCCTGCTGGTATTTAAACTACCCATGGCATAGCTTCAAGAATCACAGCAACTCACAACCCACCACAGTACGACAAACTGACAGAAAAGTGTGGCTTCAGAAAGTTCATGGAAAGATGAAATTAAAAGATAGTAGGATTTTTCTACAAACTTGTTGATGCCTACTCATATAGTACATTACACTTAATACCCGAAGAGCACGCATTATTTTCATGTGCATACTGACTAATTACCAAAAATTTTCCAGTTGCTGAACCATAAAGCATGCCTCAACAAATTCCAGATGATTCCACTGTTGTAAACATTCTAGGGTGTTTTAACCAATACAGTTAGAAAAGTACAATTAGAGACATGAAAACTGGAACATAAGTAAAATCATCTCTATTTTCAATTAGATGGTAACATACCTAGAATGCCTAAGAAGAACGAAGTGACCATAATAAAGAATTTAAAAGTTAGAAGGCAGCATACTAAAATCCAAGTATGGAATAAAACATTCTTAGGAAAGAATTGAAGATGAGATTCCATATAAATAGCAACTATAAAGTCAAAATTAGATTTAAAATTAACAAGAAAAGGTACACGTGGGAAACTTTGAAACTTCATTAAAGAAGTGTGTTTTAATAATAAAAAGGTATGCTTTGGTATTGGATAAAATAGCTCATTTTTTTCTTCTGTTGACCGAGGTTTATCTTTTTCCTTACCTTTTAAAGTTGAATGCTTAGATCATTAAATAACTTTGAAGTTTTTCTTCTTTTCATGTGCATTTATAAAACTGTAAATTTCCCTTTTGTTGAAGATTCCACTTAGGGCCCCAAAGTTTCAACATGAGACATTTTTTATTGTTTCTATTTTATGTATTTCTTTATAATTTCCTCTTTGTTAATTATTTAGGAGTATGTTTTTTAGTTTATAAAATAGTGTATTTTTAATTGTGTTGCACTGTTACTAGGGAACATTGTTGTTGTTGTTAAGTACCATTGAGTTGGTTCCAACTCATAGCAATCCTGTATAGGATTTCCAAGGAGTGCTGGTGAGTTTGAACTGCTGACCTTGAGGTTCAAACTGACAGTTTGGCCCATTGCTTACCCTATAGCGCCACACTAGGACTCTGTATCTTTGATTTTCATGCTTTGACATTTAATAATGTTTATCAGATACTTATTTGTATGGCTGCTTTGATAGGAGCTGTTGATTTGTTGTTGTTAAGTGGTTTCAAATTGGTTTGGACTCATAGAAACCCTGTATAGGGTTCCCAAGGAGCAGCTGGTGGGGTTGAACCACTGACCTTGTGGTTAGTAGTCCAATGCATATCCTACAGCACCATACCAGGAGTCCAAGTGATGCATGGTGCTGCCATCAATCATGATTGTGGGAGGAGGCTGCTTTGTTTCCTGTTACCTAAGTAGAGTCCTGGTGTGGTGCTGTAGGATAAGCACTTGACAACAATGTTGGTTTCAACTGCAAGGTTGGTGTTTTAAGCTTACCAGATAGATGCTCCATGGAAACCCTATACAAGGTTGCTATGACTTGGAATCAACTCAGCGGCACTTCACAACAACAACATATAGTAATGAGCAAGCTACTTCTTTGCCTTCATGACCCTTATATTTTGAAAGACAGATTTTTAAAAACAGTATATGAGGATACTTAGAACTGTTTTTGGAAAAAATTCATTATCTTTTTATTATATTTTCCCATGAGATTTTTGAAGTACACAATCAAAAAGCAAACCCATTGCCATGGATTCTATTCCAACTCATAACTTCCCTAAAGGAGAGAGGTGGAAGGGCTTCCAAAGGTGGAATCTTTATGGAAGCAGACTGCCACATGTTTTTCTTACAGAGCTGCTGTTGAGTTCTAACTGGTGACTTTAGGTTATCAACCAAGTGCTTAACCAGTGTACCACCAGGGTTTATCACAATATGATTATTTATTTTTAAAAATATAAATCATGTAGTGAAAAATACTATTAAAAACCAAAACCAAACCTTCGAATTGGTTCCAATTCATAGCTACTCCTCCGGAGAGTTTCCAAGGCTGTAAGCGTAGTGGTTATGAATAGGGCTGCTAACCTCGGTAATCAGTTCTAAATTACCAGCTGTTCTGTGGGAGAAAGATGAGGCTTTCTGCTCCCGTAAAGATTTACAGCCTTGGAAACCCTGTACAGGGTCACTATGAGTCGGAACTGACTCCACGGCACATAACAACAACAACAACAAATCTTTATAGGAGCCAGATTTTTCTTTCTCCCTCAGAGCAGCTGGTAAGTTTGAACTGCCATCCTTGCAGTTAGCAGTCCAGTGCTTATCTTACAGCACTGCCAGGACTCCATAAGTAACATAAAAGAGAAAATGACAGTGTTATCTGAAGGAGTGCTTTCTTAGATAAGATGGCCAGTGAAAGCTTAATATGTGAGTTTGTATGTGAAAGTAGTGAGTGAGGAAGCCTTGGAAAAGTCAAGCATAAGTGATTTCTAGTACATTTTTCATTTTTGTATATCCTATATAATTATCTCGGTAATATATGACATTTTGAGGCTTAGTGTTTTTTATTTTGTGATTTACTAGGGCTATTACTAGAAATGTTTTAGAGCATAACAACTTTTATTTTTCAGAATTTTCTCTCTTAAAAAAAAAAGTAATGTTTTAAATATGATTTTATTACATCTTGGGGCACATATTTTAGAAGGTTATGAATGAGTAATATAGCCTTCTAAATATGAGCCCCAAGTTGCAATAAAATCATATTTTAAAACACTACTATATATTTTTAAATTTATTATTTCATTTATTTATTTTATTATCTTATTTATTATTCATTTGTGGAGTCCTGGTGTGGTGCTGTGTGCTAATGCTCTGGACTGCAAAGTCAGTTTGAACTGCAAGGTCAGTGTTTCAAGCTCACCAGCTGCTCCTCAGAAACCCTATAGAGGGTCACTATGAATCAAACTGGCTCTACAGCACTTAACAATGATAATTCTTCATTCTTTTGCTTACATGAGATCAGACCTATACATCTTTTTCTCAAAGTCTCACAACCTATAGAAATTGGTTTTGCTGTTTCATTTTCTCTAATTTGTAAAAATTTACTAGAAGTTAAAGCAGATGTATTACTACAGTGTTTATGGCTTTATAAAAATAATTTTAATTTTAAGGAATATTCATTAAAGTTATACTTAATGTTGACATTTTCTCAAGTCATGTATGCCATTTTCTTTATTTTACATTAGTACGAAAGCTCAAACATTTTTGTTAAATCATTTAAAAATATCTGTGTTTGGTTTAATAAAAAAACATTTAAATACAAGGGAAATAGGAAGCCCCTCAGTGAGATGGATTGGCACAGTGGAGCAACAATGAGCTCAAACATAACAACAATTGACTGGGCAGTGTTACATCCTGTGGTGCAGAGGATCTCTATGAGTCGGAGTTAACTCAGTGGCACCGATCAACAACATACTTGATAGCTTTATTACCTGATATTTGAAATTCTATATATTTGCTGTTAAAAACTATTATCTGGTTTATTTCTTATTTTATGTTGTTGTTGTTAAGTGCCATCAAGTTGATTCCGACCCATAGCAAGCCTGTATAAGGTTTCCAAGGAGCTGGTGAGCTTGAACCACTGACCTTGCAGTTCAAATGACTCTGCAGTCTGACGCATTAGCCAACAGCACCACACGCTATTATAAAATGAGGTAAATAATAAGGTCTCAGGATGCTCATATTAGGATAAGTTATAATCACCAACATATTTTCTGTTTTGTGCATTGTTTTAGGAAATTACTGAAAGCATCTTTATTTAATATATAGAAGAACTTTCATCAGAGGACTACTACTAACTGATTTCAAGAAAATCATCTTCATGGACAAATCCATGAGAAATATCTTTTTTTTTTTAATTGGGCTACTTTTATTCTTCTTCCTTTTAACTAATGATAAATTAAAATAACTCAGAATTATATAACAGAAAAAAACCTTAGCATGACCAGCAGTGTTTGCCTAAATGACTGGGTCTTGGGTACATCCATCTTATAGCTGCTATCTTTTCTCAAATTCTCCTATTTTAAAAGGAAGACTATTTTTCTTTTTACTTTATTTACTAATTTAAAAAATAGATTGGGAAACAAATAACCATTTTTAATAATGTGAATCTCTAGAGTGCCTTTGTGAATTGCTGAGAGTTCATAAATGACCAGTTTGAAATTCTGGATTAAGTCAAAGAGAAAATAGTATTTTACATGTAGAAATTTGAAGCCAAATTTGTTGCAGTAATTTTCAGGTGCATATGACTTAATGTCATATACATTGTATATTTGACTTATTTCATCTTACTATTTTATTTGTATATTGTGTAATATGTGAGTACATTTGTATGCTTGCTCAAATCCTCTTTGAAATTAGGCAGAATTCACTGATAAATGTATATATTGAAGCCGAATTTATTGGTTAACTTTTTAAGTTTAGCAAACATATACATAGGCTCTATAAAACTTGATATTCTTAATAAAGCTGTACTGTGTAATATTATTTTACATGGTTTTAACATTAAACTTTATTGGAATACATTAAAGTTAATATTAGAATTAAGAAAAGTATTGTTCTAATGTCTTCCAGCTACTAATTGGTTATGAAAATGGTACTGTAGTACTCTGGGACTTGAAATCTAAAAGGGCAGAACTGAGAGTTTATTATGATGAGGTAAGTTACTTTTATTGAAATATTTTAAAGGGCTTTGAGACTTTATTCCTGTTTCTTACCTTTAAACCTATAATATACCAACATTTTGTCTCTGGATAACTGCTTAGTTCTTATCTAGTGTCTTACACTTTCAGTATTTACATTCTGAGTCTGGGGTCTTCTGAGTGGAAACTTTGCCTCAGTTGACTATTTCTGGGCCCTGCTTGGCATTTTTGATACTTTGGTGCCTGTTATAGATAATTGCACCCCAAAATTTGTCTCAATTCCTTTTTTTTAATTTTGAAGGCTATATGCTTGTGTTTTACCTCACTGGTATTACATTTCTAAAGACACTATTCACAGCTTCCTTAGAAAATTTATTTCCTATGGTAGAAATCTTAAGTGGCCAGTTTGAAAGGCTTTACAATATTTCTTAGAATAAAGAGAGGTTTTGTGAATAATAACACCTACTAATCAGTGTCAATTAGATCTTGAAGTAATTTTATTGTATGTAATTGAGACTTGATTATGTTTTCATTTAGGGGAAATAATGAGCTGTTATTTGTCAAGGGATACTCTCTGAGGTGGCATTTCAGTTGTTCAGAGATTGATTTCAGGCCATTAATTATATCCCCTTTCAGAAGAGGCTAATGTGAACACTGAGACTGGAAGCAAAAACAGAGAAAGTGGAGTTACTCTTGTAGCCCTGGAAATAAACATGAACATTTATGTGCTCAATTAAAATTTTTAAATGGTGGGAGTGGGGAGAGACAGGAGGAAAATACAGATTTAAAATTTCTATTTAGTAACATTCATATGGGAATTGTGCCAAAGCATTTAAGGCAGCACTGATAAAGACCAGGAGAAAAAGTAAACTAAAAACCCAAATCATTTCTTTTTGAACACTTCCTTTTGAAATAGAATGAAAAATATCACCAAATGAACCTCTAGTTACTCTAGGATACTTTGTGTACCCCTTTCTATTCCTTCACAGTAAAAGTTTTTAATATTGTTTTGGTGCTTAGATATAAGCCTTCAGCTATCTCATAAACTCCACAGTTCATTTCTTAGTAGTTCTGGAAAACTAAGATTTTCCTGTGCATGCAAGGTCATTATCATAGTGGTAAAGAGCTCAAAAGTCAATGATGGAGCAACTGAATAATTTCATTATGACTGGTGAAACATAATCTGGCAAGTGGTATTATATGATTATGTTCTTCATGGTAAACTTCTAGGGCATTTTGAGTCACAAAGAAGAAGGTGCTATGGAAGTAGTCATTATTTTCTTTGTGTTAAATATACAATGCATAAAGATGGCCATAAGCTAGATGAGAATTCACATATAATGTGAGTGTTTACCCAGATGAACTGAAAGTAGACCAGCTAAAAAGGAAATGCAGAGAGAGATGACAAAACAGCAATTCTTCCAGTGGTTTTAAGAAAGTATGAGGAGACGGGTTTGATGGTGGATAGGGTAGAGGTGCAGTGAAGTTCTCTGTCAGCAGTAACCTAGAGTACCAGGTGTAGCGGGTTCAGGGGAGAGCTCCAAAACTCTGAACCATGTATGTAGGAATATTTACATAGGTTGAAGGCTTTTAGCTAGTGGAACTTGTAGTGGAAGCAAGAAATCTCATACTTTTGAATCTGCTGGGCTCAGCAGCCCAGAGCCTACAACTTGGGCAAGACCAAACAGCAAGACCAAGCGGGGGAGCAAGCAGACCCACCACAGATTAATGCCTGTGGGGACCTTAGAGACAAAGGTGGAAAATATTCTTTGTTTGTTTTGTTCTAATTTTTGTTGTTGTTATCTGTTCATTGTCCTCTTGCTGTCTGTGCACCTCCATTCTGGTGATTAGAGGAGGTGCCTAAGTGATTGGACACCCCCCACCCTCAGAGGGTTCTTCTAACAAGCATGCGCACAGATCCTCTCAGCGATTAAAGCGCCATTCTCCCGCTTAAAACCAACCAGCAGTGCAAAATGGCCACAACCATCCCTGAATGGTTTATTAAAAGGGAAAAGGCCAGACCAGGGATTATAGAGTGGGAGAGAGTTTAAAAACAAAACAGTCTGAAAATTAAATCCTGAGGTATAGCATAACAAGCAACAGTGGCATCTTGAAATTTATCAGGAGGCCTTGAAAGCAAGAAGCTGAAAGATGATATTAAAGTCATAATCAGACATTTTATCTTTTTTTTTTGTCTCAGACATTTTATCTTGTTTCTGGACATGTGCTGTTATCCAATCTGGTTTGTTTTTTTGTTTTTTTTTTGCTTGGTTCCCTGTTTTACCTGTAGGGGGCTCTTTCTCTCCCTATATTACCCAAGAAGAGACAGCAATTACTGCCATATAGTCAAGCTACAGTCACACCATATAAAACCCCACAATCCAGGCAAGAACCAGTACTAACTGCCATACATGAGGGAGGCAGACAACACCTGTGAAAGTTACGCTGAGTTAAGCAATGGGAAGATTGAAAAGGGAAGCCACTTCCTGGTCACATCTACCTGGAAGCAATCACAAAGTATAAAAATACCAAAACACACATACAATTAAGTATTAAGGCCACAGCTAAACCACTAAACTTTTCCAAGAAGTAAAAACATATGACCATAACAGCACATGTCCAGAAACAAGATAAAATGTTTGAGACAAAAAACATAGAGGAGGTAGACCTAGACTCCATTATGGAAGGAGGGCAGACCTTGGAAATGCCTGAGAAGGGATTCAGAAAAATGATTATAAAATGTTTCAAAACACTTTACAATGGAATTGAGAAAAATAGGAAGTCAGGAAAGTGTTATAGTAACAAATAAGATAGATACAGCATTGGAAACAATTCAAAACCTACAGAAATAGGTCCAAACAATTAATAATAGAATATCAGAAATAGACAATACACTGAAAGGGCAAAGGAGTAGAATTGAAGAGATGGAAGCCAGAACTAGTGAGCTGGAAGACAAATCTCTCAATACTACAAACATAGAAGAACAAGCAGTAAAAAGGATATAAAAATCTGAAGGAGGTCTAAGATTCATGTTGGACAACATGAAGAGGAATAATTTAAGAATTATCAGTTTTCCGGAACAGGAAGAATCACACAAGTCCACAGAGTTGAAGAGCTGATGGAAGAAAATTTCTCTAACATCCTGAAAAGTGAAAACATAAGCATTCAAGAAGCTCAACAAACCCGAAGAAAGATAAACCCCAAAAGAAAATCACCAAGACATATCATAATCAAGCTCTCCAAAATCAAAGATAAGAAAGCAGCTAGGGAAAAGAGAAGCGTAACATACAAAGACAAGCAAGTCTGATTAAGTTCAGATCTCTCAGCAGAAACCATACAGGCAAGAAGGCAATGGGGAGATATGTATAAAAACCTGAAAGAAAATACTGTCAACCAAGAATCCTTTATCCAGCAAAGATAACAATCAAATGCGATGGTGTAATCAAAACATTCCAGGATAAACAGAAGCTAAGGGATTTTGTTAAAGCCAACCCTGTGCTACAAAATATCCTAAAGGGAGTTCTGTAGACTGAGCACCAACAAAAACAGACAACAACCAGAGATTGCCATATGGGGCAACACGACCCGGAACTCAGTCGACAAATGGAAGAGCTGAGAACAGAACAAAACTATAAGAACAAAAACAGAGGATCTGGGAACTCAGTCTACTATCAAAACAATTACAATGTGAAAGAAGGTAAACACATAGGAACAGAGATCGAGATGGTGAGAAGGTCAGGTAGATTACAGGATAAAATAGACTTCACTAAATAGAGGGAAAAGTTAATGAAATATAAGGTAACCTCAAAGAAAATTAACACTTCACAACATACCAAAAAAATAAAAATAAAAACTATGAGGAAACTACAAGAAAGAACACAAAAACCATGAACTCAGCACAGCAAGACATGAAGAACAAAGAAAGTAGCACCACTACAAAACAAACAAACAAACATAGTGGCAGCAATTAATCCATACCTACCAATAATTACGCTGAATGGAAATGGATTAAATGCACCAGTTAAGAGACGGAGGGTGGCAGAAAGGGTAAGAAAACAAGATCCTTCAATATGCTGTCTGCAAGAGACACACCTTACACACTGAGACAAAAGCAGATTAAAAGTCAAAGGATGGAAAAAAAAAATACCAAGCTAATGGCAATAAAAAATGAACAGGAGTGGCAGTACTAATCTCTGATAAAATAAACTTTAAGGCAAAACCCAGCATAATAGATAAAGATGGACATTATCTCATGATTAAAGGGATAATTAAACAAGATAACATAACCAAAATAAATATCTATGTGCCCAATGAAAGAGCTCCAAAATATATAAAGCAAACTCTAATAGATTTGAAGAAAGAAATAGAAGAGTCTACCATAATGTGGGTAATTTTAATATACTGCTTTCAAAAATGGATAGAACCACCAGAAAGAAACTTGACAAAGACACAGAGGAACTAAACAACACAATCAGACAACTGGACTTCATAGATGTGTACAGAGCATTCAACTAAACAACAGCACAATACACATTCTTTTCCAGTGCACATGGAACATTCTCCAGAGTAGACCATGTGTTAGTCCACAAAATAAACCTCCATAAATTTATAAATATCAAAATACTACAAAGCATCTTCTCAGACCACAATGCTATCAAATTAGAAATCAACAATAGGAAGACCAAGGAAATAAAGTCAAATACATGGAAACTGAATAACACCCTGCTGAAAAGCTACTTGATAGTAGAAGAAATAAAACGTGAACTCACAAAGTTCCTAGAAACAAGTGAGAGCAAAAACACAGCTGTGGGACACAGTGAGGGTGGTGCTGAGTGGACAGTTTATTGTGATAAATGCACACATCCAAAAAGAAGAAAGAACCAGAATTAACACATTAACACAGCATCTCCACCTATTAGAAACAGACCAACAGAGGTACCTATAGTCACCAAAAGAAAATAAATAATAAATACAAGAGCAGAAATAAATAAGATAGAAAACAGAAAAATTATAGAA